TTAAATTCAACCCCATTTTTTTTTTTTAACTGGCGAAATCGAATTCCTCGGGACTTGGCGACTATCTCCTGGCTTTGGTTGTTTCTTGAAAGGCAATTTCACAAGAAAGAAAATGAGCGAAAAGTTCCAACAAATTTGATAGGTTAGTATGAATGACAAAGATTCTTGTTTTTTTTTTGTTTTTTTTTCTTCGTTAGTGTTGACTCTAAAACTTTACGTTAATTCTGAAAACTTGGCCACTCGATCAGAGAATTTCTGAAAAATGACCAATTAGGATGCTAAGGTCTATTAGCAAAAAATTAAATTGTTTGTGAACATGACGTTAATCCTCACTTTGGGATTTCTATTCTCACACTTTCTTACCTGTCTGTTATCTTTCTGAAACACTAAAAATACTATAGTTTAAATTTTCTTCTATGATCCGTGTCCCTTCAGGACGTAGGCGATCATGTTGCTTCACAGCTTCCTGTCCCTTGTAGCTCTAAGTCTTTTGTTGCTTTTCTATTTCTCCTAAATCCTGTTCTAAACAACCATTTACACAAGCTGGCTATGTATCTTATTTGGTGGTTTCGCTTGTCCCTCTTTCCTTCAATCTGTCCTGTGAGCGTCAAATTCTCCAAGTCCTCTTTTCTCATCATGTGCCCTAGAAAATTTATCAGTGTCTTCCTGATGTTAAATATAAGTATCCTTTTTGGTTCTATTTCTCTAAAATTTCATCGTTACTTACAAGTTCAGTCTATGGTATTCTCATCATACTTCTGTAGAACCACATTTCTACTGCTTCAAGTCTCTTATACATCTGTGAGGAGATTGTTCAGCATTCGCTGGAATATAGGAAGACCGACATTGCATAACAGTTCAGCACTGTTTTCTTTGTTTCACTAATGGTATTTCTTACTCATGACTTAAAGAAAATGTAGAAGAAGAAGATAATGATGATTATTATTATTATTATTATTATTATTATTATTATTATTATTATTATCATACAGGGATTTAAAAAATGACCCGTATCAATAGAGTGTGTGGTCCCCAAAAAACAGAATCCTCTCAGAATAACAATTTCATATTTTGCTTTGAGCACCCAATTTCTAAAAAACGCTAACAAAAGTGCTTATAAATTATTTTTTTAGAGTAAGTTTCCAAATATTAAAATAATTTTAATCTGCAAAATCTAAGCAAAATCATCTCACGAAGATACATAGAAAGTGATTAGTCTATTCACAAGTCAAATTCATCATTAATCGCAGTTATCAGTATATGCCGGGGATCACATATCAGGTTTCGGCATAACTTGTCTTGTATTGACCAAAAAATAATTGTTTACACCTCTATTCCTGTAATTTCTGTTGTACAGAAGGCAGTTTTGGTACTGGAAATCCCATCACGAGTAGTTTAATGGGCTAAATGAAAAATCCAAGCTTTTTTCAGTTTTTATTTCTTCATTACAGAATTTCTAGACGTACACTTTAAATAAAAATCTGAAAGTTTGTTTTCAGTCTTCCTCTGAAGTACCCATATCGTTCATAAAGTTCTATAACTGAGTTGAAAATTATTCAGGGGTTTCCATAACCACAAATTGCCGCTTGGCTCTATAGTGCGAGCCCACTGTGTACTATGTAATGTAAATACAGAGTGCAATGGGAAAATTGCCGCTATTTTATATTTTTAATTACGCGCATCCGCGTTGTTTGTTCTTGAATTTTATCAACTGCACAGATCGTCTATGAGAAAAAGAGCACCATGACGCAATTTATTCTGCCAATAATTTGGAAACAGCATGCTTTAGTGCTTGGCATTCGCGTCGTAAGCTCCAATACGAACATTTCAGAGTGTTTCTGATAAGAAAAGAACTGCCAAATTTGTTGGCGAGGACCTCAGACTCAACACGGAGGCCTACATCAAGTGCTTTGAGGAGGTAGTGATGATGCCCTGGGTCAGGAGGGTGGCTTCTGGAAAAACATGTCTGCAACAGGGCTCTGCACCATGCTATACAAACAGGAGAACCCAGTTATGGTTATCAGACAATTTCTGCGACCACATCACCCCTTACGTCTGGTCACCTAACTCCCCAGAATTCAACCCCCCTTGATTATTATGTTTGCCTGCAGTTGAGCAAGAGGCCAACAAAACTCCTTGTAACACCAAAGATGAACTGAAAGCAAGGATTATGGTAGCATTCATCAAATTAAACAAGAAGACCGTCCAGAAGAGTTGCAGGAGATTCAGAAGTCGTCTGGAGGCTGTAGTTGAAGCCAATGGCGATTTTATTGAATAAATTTAGTCTTCAATATTTCAAGATATTATCTGTAATTTTGGTAAATATATCTGTTAAAATGAGATGTCAGTGTTATTTTCATTTCTGCGTAATTTAGATAACAATTTTTTTCCTTTCTTTTTTGTGGTGGGGGATATTAAAATCTGTACTTCTTTTAAAATATTCAAAAAGCTTTTTCTTTTTCATGAAAGATGATCACACTAGCGTAAGAAAAGAGTTAGTTGATTGTTCAAGCTGAAAGCACTTGGTTTACTAAGGAATTAACAGGTTTTGAATACCCGTCACTGATGCCCGATCAGAAATAAACTAATAAACAAACCTAATTTCTTTTATACGGAAATCGTTGTCTGCAAACTTAAATTTGATAAAGAATGATTAAACGTGATTTTTTTTAAATGCAACGTGAAACTTTCCGTTTCTTTTTTTTTTTTTTTAATTTCACTTTTTAGCTCCCCAAATTAGTCCATCTTTAAGACCAATGACCCGTTCCCTCTAGATATCACCCCGACTCGTACAAATAAGGCAAAAATTCAATCTGATGGCTACAGCTAGACGGACATGATGTAGCAATGAGTTAAATTGAAGACAAATCGATAGGGAACATTTACTTTCGATCGATGGCTCTCAGTAACTGAAGTCAACGTCAAAATACAAGCTCAAGACTATGAGAAAGTGACGGAAGGAAGTTTAACTGCTTTTTTTTTCTTTTTTTTTTTTTTGTCCGAAGATGACAGGACAAAGAAAACTGTTGTCTATAAACCTGACCATCCCGCACAAACAAAAACAGAAAGTACGAAGCAGTCCACGTAGAAAGACAGAACACGCCCGCTGAATTGTGCACTTCTCCCGTCACTTACGCCTCAACCCGCCTTCGCACACCTATAGTAGTAAGTCAGTACCTAATAAAATCTGGTTTACTACTAGAAAGTGTTTTGTCTTTCACTCGTGGGTAACGATCTGACCGAAGGGTAATTTTTAAGCCACAAGCGTCTGACTGAAAGAAACTGCATCCTGAACCCGGTGTCTGGCCTTAGCTGCAACGCAACAATATTAAAAACTACTTTAAACCATGTGGTTTTCTGTCATGTTCCGTGCCGTTGCGGGATACAAAATTTACTGGTAAAGTAAGCAACCTTGCGTCATATTTTGGCGTCTCGGGATGAGGTAATATTAGCGAACTGTTCTTGTTGACGAGTTCTAATGAATAGTGAGTTTGATCCGCACTGGGTGCTTTGTACTTGTGGTCTGGTGTCAAACTAACCTGAACTTTGCGTCACATTTTGGAATCGTGGTTTGACTAATAAATACTCCATATCTGTCTGTCTGCCTGCTTCGCTCTCTCTCTCTCTCACTCTCTCTTTACTCATATTAACATTGTTAACTCACTTTCTCTCACCCTCCCTCTTTTTCTCCCGAAATTTCTTCTTCATTCCTATTCTACTTAGATGCCCTTCACGTTCTATATCCACATCACAAATATTTTCTATCTTTCCCTGTTTAATTATGGATATCTTTCTCTTGTAATAATGAATATTTAAGCAGCAAGAATTCATTTAAACAACTTTTATTACATTCAACTGAAATGATCTGTATGTTAATTTGTTTTTATTTTACTTTTTTTCAATTTCACAGTAAGTTGTTGTACAGTCGAATCAAAGTTGTGTATAAAGTGTCCAACGTTCATGTTTTTCCTCTGCTTCAGTTATTATTAAGAAGTAATGTACCCAGCCTCCTGGCCAAAAGGGAATGTGTTACTTACTTCTAACATTCTTGGGAACGCAACATTTCAATATTGGCATTCTTCATGTCTGAGTTGCACGACATTTTATTTACTAATTACTCTCTCTCTCTCTCTCTCTCTCTCTCTCTCTCTTACACAAACTCTTCTCTCTCTCTCTTTCTCATTCGCTCTCTCTCACACACTCCTCTCCCTCTCTCACACACACACTCTTCTCTCTCTTTCTCATTCGCTCTCTTTCTCATTCGCTCTTTCTCTTTCATACACGCACTCTTTCTCTTTCTCATTCGCTCTCACTCTTTCTCTCTTTCTCATTCGCTTCTCTCTCTCTCTCTTTCACACACACACTTCTCTCTCTGCCTTTCTCATCCGCTCTCTCTCTCTCACACACACACACAAACACTCTCTTCTCTCTCTTTTTCATTCGGTCTCTCTCACACACTCTTTCTCTCTCTTTCTTATTCGTTCTCTTCTAACACACACTCTTCTCTCTCTCTTATTCGCTCTCTTTCTCTCTCACACACACTCTCTCGCACTTTCTCATTCGCTTTCTCTCTCTCTCTTTCACTCTTTCCCTCTCTTTCTCATTCGCTGTCTCTCATGCACACTCTTCTCTTTGTCTTTTTCTCATTCGCTCTCTCTCTCTCTCTCTCTCTCTCTCTCTCTCTCTCTCTCTCTTTCCCCACCTACTCTGAGTAGATAGGCACAGATAGGTTCACTGTTTTATCTATTGTTCAATGTTTAGGATTGAGTTTCCGATTCCTTCTGAAGTCTTTTCATTCCCTTTCACTCCCAGTGGCCGCCTTACGTCTAAGCGGCATTATCGCCTTGCTTGGATCGAATTAATTGAAAGAAATGTACTAGTAGTCGTTATTCAAACCCAGTCAAGTCATGAACTTGCAAATTTTTGTTTTTAAAGAACATGCACTTGATATCGACCCTAAATGACAAATGAATGAAGAAAATTTGTTTTTTTAACGACGA